TTTTTTAAGGAATCGCGTTTGCATATTTCAATTTGCCCTAAAAGGTTCGATAAACCGGGCAAACGCATTTGCAATTTGGAAATATAATTCGAATTTCAAAACAATTTTCATTGGAAACGGGTTTGGCAAATATTGGAAATAGGACTGCGCAACATTCCCCTATGAAATAATAATTTTTTTTCCTTTATTTTTCATTTTTTTGAAAAGCTATTAAAAGGCAAATCATTTGAACATTTTATTTTACCCTTACTTTTTTTTCTTTTGGAATTTATTTATTGATAGGCCTTTCAAAAAGGTGGAGATCCAAATTTTAATGAAACTTTTTAAAAGAGCCGCATGATGGGATAAATATGGCTTCTGGGGATGGGATTTGGCAGCCCCCCAAAATTTCTTGGCATTTTTAAGGGAACCGGCGTTTGTTTGAACGGGGCAGAGGGGGGCTTGACAGCGAACGGTCATCCCCACAATGAATGAAAGTTTTGGTTTGATTTCTATTATAACGAACGGGTTTTTTTACGGGGCATTAAGGGCCTTGAATTTAACATTTTTCCTAGAGACGCGCCGCCCCCTAGCATGGCTCTTGGGTTTCCCGGGAATTTGGGGGGAGCGGGGGGGCGTTATCGGTTCCACTTGGGGAGGCGGATCCCGGACGCACTTGCTTGGCGCCAAGAGCCGGTAACCCTTCCATGGCGACGAAGGCAATTGGTAATTTTCATGGTGCGGATTTCTTAACGTTGATTTAAACTAGTATTGCGTTTCTAAGATTTTTTACATATGACTCCAATAGTTTTATTTATTTATTTTACAAATATCTTATTTTTTCCCTAAATTTCAAGCGTTTTTTGGGGCATTCAAAAGAGCCTTCCCCTGGGGATTTCCCAGGGGATATTTAAGACCGATTGCCGTTAGCGCCTTTCCAACCCATCGGCCAAATATTTTGCAACGTGGGATGCATTTTCTCTTTGGCGAAATGCCAGCGTAGTTTTTCCCATAATCTTTAAGCCATGGTGTTTTTTAAGGTATGAATGTTTCCATGGATGTTTGAAGCGCTTGGATTCATGCGAACGTAAATGCGTCATAGCGGAAACACTCGATGCCTCGAACCCAAGATATTTGGCCACTGCGCCATGCAGGGGATCGGAATAAGTTTGGGGAAAAAAAATGTGACGCACAGTAGACTATTTTACAGACATAATCATCCACCATGTTTCTAGGACAAGCATTGGTTGGAAATTAAAACCAAGCTTGGAACTTTTTTTTGGTTGTGGCACCAAAGATTTCTATTCGAAAGGGATCCGGCAGAGACTCTTTTTTATATCTGAACCTGTCGTGTTATTCCAGCCGTAAGGCGGCACACATGAAAAATTATGCGCTTAGGAAGGAGGATGGGGAGGGGGGGTTCTCTGCAGCCCCCTCCCATCCACACACAAAAACACCAGAGATGTATCTCCTGTATGCGCTGCCGCTTCCCTTTTTGGTTGATAGGGACGGCGGATGTGGCCTGGCCAGGCCCCCCGCCGCGTCAATAGACAGAATGAGCTGTCGCGCCTTTCCACACTAGTAGGGATTTTTGGAATCAGGCCTCGCCAAAGGGAAGGGGCGAGTGAAAGTGGGATTGCTGCACCATGCCCACCAAAACTTCATAGTTTTCGTGGAAGGCTAAAACTGATACTATGTGAAAAAAAGAAAATAGTGGAAAATAGGATTACATTCCCAAGAGTGGATTCCCAATGCGTTGTGTGTAAAAGAGGAAAACGAGACCAATTACATATACCATGGGTGATAAACTGTACGATTTATTATAATTCTTTTTACCAAATATATTATGTGAAGAAGCATCGCAAGTTTGCATCTTTCATGAACGTCACAATTACTGTATAAATTAGGACTTTTCAAGACCAAGCAACATTATATGAAGCATACAAAGGATCTCATCCTTTTGTCTAAGTGGATTTTGTTTTACAAATACCAATAAACTAAGCGATGCATGTAAATTAAATCAATACTAATAAATTCCACACTCTCACACACTCACCTATAGATATATATATATGATATATATTAAAAAAAAGTACATA